ATGATCAGGAGAATATAAACCGTGGTAGTAAAGATGAAGTAGACAGATTAAAGAAAGATTGTAGGAGGGGAACCTATCAGTTCTTAGGGTTTGGTGAATGACATAGGAAGCCAGAACCCTGGTATGGCAAATCAAATGACAACTACCAGGAATTGAGAAGCTATAGGTTTAAGTCTTTCAATAAATACCTGCAAAATATTTCCAAGTGCAAAACACACTCCTAAAACCAAGATTCAAATGTGAAATTATAATCCTTGTAGTTAAAAAATACTCTTGAAAATTACAAAGTATTTAAAAACACAAGGTACACACACACACACATATGTATAATTTGTCAATGCAGAATAAACAATCTATGCTATCACTTTTTTTTTTTGGTGCTATCCTGGGGTTGAACTCAGGCCTTGTGTTCTGTCCCTGAGCTTTCTTTGCTTGAGACTAGCTCTCTACCACTTCAGCCACAGCTGGTAGTTTTTTTGAAGCTAAGCATCTCAAGGCATTCCTGCCCAGGCTGGCTTCAAATTGTGATCCTCAGATCTCAGCCACCTATGTAACTAGGATTACAGGTCTGAGCCACTGGCACCTGGCTCTAGGCTATTGCTTTAAAAAAAAAATACTACATGCAGAAAACAAATCAATAGAAAGAAACATTCCAGGGGTTGGGGGTTTAGCTCAGCGGAAGAACACCTGCCTGGCCAGTGCAAGGCCCTGAGTTCGGTCCTCAGCTGGGGGGGAGGGGGGGAATATTCCATAATTTTACAATGTGTTATATTTGAGTTTGATAGATATTTAATCTCTTATACTACCTTGTAATTTGTTTTACTTATCCCTCTTCCTCCAAGTTTACGCGTGAGGGGATTAATCTATTTTATTACCCAAACATATTTGTTTTTTTTCATCCCATTATCACTACTGTAACTTGCCAAGAATTTAGCTCATAACCTCCTACTTGCCTTCCTATAAGTTATGACCCACTTCACGTTAGCTTATTTCGGGTAACAATTTCTAAACTTTAACACCTTCCACCCGAGGATGTACTCTACAAATCCTAAATCACAACAATTCTGCGCATATGTGACAAGTTATTACAATTCCCACTTTACTACAGAGTTAGGAAACTGGCCCAAGGGAAGTAGAATAACTTGGAAGTAATCACAAAACCAGATGCCAAAAATAACAACTTTTAGTCAATCCATGAGAAAATACTGCCCCTAGTATAAATAACATGAAAATTAGCATTAGGAGGAAGCAAATGCAAAATAATGCTTTAAATCCAAATCTAAGCCTCCTTTCTAAAAATGACTGAACCTGAGAATTAACATTTGAAGAACTTTCAAACAAAGCCTTTTTGTCTTATCCATTGTGTCAAAGATTATCTAATAAGTTACATCTGGCAAAAGTGACTTTTTCCCAAAAAATAATCGTTTATCTTATCCATTTAAAAGATATTTGGGGCTGGGCACATGCCTATAATCCTAGGTTGAAGCCAGCCTAGACAGCAAAGTGTGAAATTTTGATATCCAATTAACCACCTAAATAAAGGAAATGGGGCATTGGCTCAAAGCGGTAGAGCACTAACCTTGAGCAAAAAAGCACTAAGGCCCTGAGTTCAAGCCCCATGATTCACAGAAAAGAAGAGGAAGAGGACGAGGAAGATGAGGAAGACAACGACGACATTTGGAGAGAGGGTATGGTAGCTCTTACCTGCTCACTGTGGAAAAAAAAAAGATCAAGAGAATCAAGTTTTGAGACAAGCCTGAAAAAGACTCCATCTCAACAACAAGCCAGGCATGGTGGGACAGGCCTGGAGTCCCTAACTACATGAAGAGGCATAGGATGATCAAACTCTGAAGCTGACTAAGCAAAAATGTAATAACCTTTCTGAAAAAAACCTAATTATTGAGGGCGTGGCTCAATCTTCAGTACTGTCAAAAGTCAATAAGTGAAGCCAGTCATCCATGGCTCACAACTGTAGTACTAGCTACTCAGGAAGCTGAGATCTGAGACGTGAGGTTCAAAACCAGCCTATGCAGGAAAGTCCTTGAGACTCTTATCTCAAATTAACTACCAAAAAGGGGGAAGTGAAGCTGTGACTCAAATGGTAGAGTGTCAGCATTGAAAAAAAAAGGGACAGCACTCAGGCCTTGGGTTCAAGCCTCAGAACTAGTACGCACAAGTGCACACACACACACAAATATGGATATAAACACAAATGAGTGAATGTGTAAAAAACATGGAGAGAATTGTGTTGACAGAACAAGAGGCAACTTTTCAGCCAAGATATTAAAACTCTAATGCTGTTAGAACAGATTCAAAAAGTTGAGTGACCCTTGCATTATTTTCCCAAAAATTAACATAGGGTTAATAAAGGTAAAACTTTAATATTTTATAGTTAATGTTCAGAATGAAAGTTCCTTAGCCATAACTTACCATATGCATTTCCAAATATGCTGTCATTTGTTGTAACTTAAGGGCACTGTTTTATCTGATTAAATCAGTCTTACATGTTTTTAAATCATGATTTATGTAATGACTTTCTCTCTGTTTATGTGGTACACAGGAATCAAACCCAGGGCCTCATACATGCTAGGCAAGCATTCTACCACTAAGCCACATCCCCAGCCTAGTCTTGAATGATTTTAAAACAACACAACTCCTTTTCAAAGTGAGTTTATGATGTCTGTGTGATTATACTTAATGGACATGTCAGAGCAAACTATTGTCCATTATTACAGTATTTACACTCTGCTGACATTCAAAACACTATGCTCAAGAATTGCCCTTCCAATACATGGTTATGCACTAAAAACAAGTATGGGAGATGACTGTTAGTAAAAGTCCTTTGAATCCAAGCTGTAAATTTTCAGGAATCTCTTGTAGCACTCATAAAAACATTGCTTTCCATTAATTAAAACTCAACCTAATTCTAATAATCGCTTTTAAAGAAAAAAGTTTGCTCACATTACTTCCAGCCATCCTGTATGTACATTCTCTATCATCAGTACTTCTTGTAACTGAAATGATGCTAGCAATGATTTTTATGGATGATGTATCTTAGTAGCGAACGTCTAAGTTAAAAAAAAAAAAACTCCTGAAAAATACACTCAGTATAGTAATCCTGGTAAACTCAATACTTCTTATACTGAGCAACAAGAATAACTAGGGCCTCAAGTACACACAGCACCGCACCCCATTCCCCGAGCTTCTAACATTACCATAACAATATGAGCTGACGACAATTTAATGTTCCTTTTTAACATAAGAACGTGCATTTTAAATAACCTCACTTAGGCCATTACCGGTCTTTTGACTGTAGTTACTATTTTCCACAAAGACCCTAAAAGGAATATTCATTCATCTCCCAAAACTAAACTACATTCCCTAAAGCTTAATCCCGTTGAAAAAGGGTTGATGTAATGCATCTACAGAAACAAAAATTACAAACTATAAACTCAGTCAACTCTTAACTGTAAATTGTAAACTTTAATGAAGAACTAAACCGTGTCTATTTGATGCCCAACCCGGACAGATGCTTCTCCTTACCAAACAGGCGTCACTGGCAAAATGACCAGCCTACAGAATGCTAATCCTCCACCCCATCAACATTCACTAGCTTTCAACATCAGAATCCACTCAACCCCTATATAGCACGCCAAATGAAGACATTGTATCTGGACGTATTCTCAAATAGCAATTACACACACACACACACACACACACACACACACACACACACACA